GAATTAAAACCGTCAAAAACAGAAACAAAACTTCCAAAAAGCGAAACTGTGAAATTTTTTCACATCCCAATTGATTTATGTTTTCGATCAAATTGACATTTAAATATGCTTTCTTTATTTTTCTGCATTTTGTGGCCGGGCGCAAGGACCGCGCGCAATACGATCGGAGTGGCAAACAATTTTAATACAGCCTTTTTTCCGGAATTATTTGTGCACGAACAGTAAATTTTGGAGCCACAAGATTGCCATAAAAGCTGCTCAGAATGTACCAAAACGATGTTTAGGGGTCTAATTTTTACGATTTCCTCCCGGGGGAGGCCCCCGGACCCCCCCAACGGGAGGGGGGCCACCCCCCTCCCGTACCCTCCCCGCTGCGCGGCTCGCTTCGAGCCACTTCGTGGCTCGCCTGCTACTTTTTCTTATCAGCCACCTACTCTAAATTTTTTTGAGAAGGCTGCTTAGGTATCACAACTCTTTCAGAAAACACTTTTGTCCATGCGATATGTGTTACTGAAATTCCATTCATTAGGCACTGAACAATTACAAGTGGCTTACATGTCAAATTGATGATGTAACTTTGTGGCTGTTGTTACACCCTGGTTTTGGTCCTTTACCCCACAGTTTTGTTTGTTTCAGATAACCAATAAACTGTCTTTAGACATAACTCACCAGCTTTGTAGTAATTGTACAGTAAAACAAGCTGTGTAAAACTAGACTGTAAGGTGTCATTCAATCATACTGGTATGGACCACTACTTTTTTATCTCGGCCGCCTTAGCGGCCGAGGTATTGTGCTCAAAAATAGGTACCTTGGATGTTACCTTGGATGACTGGATAAATCTTGATTTCGACCGTGAAAACCAATGAAACCAATTACTCTGCATGTATACTTTACTTTGTGGTGTCGACCTACCGGATGATAGTGTCATTATTCTTATACAACGAAGTTGCTAAAAAAAGAAGAAATGCTGTTTACCACAAAACCATTGTTTTATATCATAGTATGCCTTTAATGTTCTAGAATTTGGCTAATAGCTGCTGTAATTGGACCAATAAATCAATGACATAAATTATGTACATTAACCTTCCATATTTGCCTAAGTCGCAAGATGTCGCTTTTGATTGGTGAATAAATCACTGTGACGCACGTAAATATTCACTTGAAATGAGAAATTACCGCCCAACAAAACGGACCATTAGATTCCCAGTGCTGTATTACTCTTTTGTTCTTGTGGTCAACTTGTTTTCTTTGCTTGAATCGCGTAAAAGACCAAGGAAAATACAATG